CCTCCATTACATTTTTCGTTATTGCTGTTGTTAAAGTTATTGTTTGTTCATTAAACTTTTCATTTATTTTGGAGAGTAAAATTTCCATTTGCTTTTCCATTTTTTTTTCAGGGTATTTTGGTGTTTTGATGTGGTAACACTTAAATTTATGGTAATCCTTTTTCTACGTTGGCAACACTTTTTGCAGTTGTCAGCTGTCAAATAGCAGTGACAGATTTTATTTGGTTGGCACTACCTATAATCTTGGTATCTATGGTGTGTGTGCTTAACTTTGAGGTTATAACGATCAGAACTTTGTTTGAACAGAATCGCCACAAAATTAGTTATTTCACTGTAATTTCTGCTGAAACACTCTTCTGGTTTGAACTTCTGAACTTTTCACTGTAGTATACGTTCGGTTTTTCGTTTTTTGCACTGTTTAATTGGAAATATTTACGGAGCTCTCACTTGTACGTGTTTACACTTTGATCACCGGAACCGGATCTCACGCTCTCACAGTAGCCAGTGTAAAATAGTAGCTTAATGCTGCTGTTTCGTATGGTGAGGGTAGAGAAACGGAGACCCTTTTTACTGAAAACAAGGCGTTCCATCTTAGTCCGGATGATAACGCATCTGCATTTTGATTCGTAATCGAGGATATCCATGGGCCACAGCAACCACTTACCATCAAGTGGACTGTGTGCTCGTTTGTCACCCTATCCTATATAAAAAAAAGTTTGCATACATGAATTTCCATACAGACCCGGAACAATTATTTGCATTCCATAAAGTAACATTTAAAAAAAAATTAAGTATATATAAACAGAAAAATTTATTTAAAATACAAATTTTCAAGTTTAAGTTCACCTTAGTCTGAATCTGGTGAGCGTTCAACCTTCATTTGAACTGAGACTGTTGCCCAAAAGCGGCCATTAGTCCGCCGCACTGCTCCAATGCGTGTTGGCAGACTTCATATGCCCTCAAAACATTAATATTCCTTAGTCACATCACGATGTTTTACTTCAACGCCGAGCATGTGGTAAATTAACACTTAAAATTACAATTCACAATTTCATTGATGCCGGTGTAGAGCGAATTGTTACTATATGTATATCCTGAAGGTAATTTATATTTCCTAAGCATCAAAATAAATGAAAAAATGTTTATTGCAACAACTAACTGACTGACACACAAAAAGTTCCCGGTCGCCCCATTATTCCTGGAAGTGGTGGCGGTCATGGCAACGGTGGGACATGGGGTGCCAAGAATCCCCGGGAGAGGACAGATTACCACCACAGGTTCTCGAAGTTGTCCGGGAATATACCTACCTCGGGCAGATATTGCAACTAGGCAAGAATAACTTCGAGAAGGAAGCCGATCGGAGGATACAGTTAGGCTGGGCAGCATTTAGAAAGCTCCGTCGGGTTTTCTCGTCGCCCATACTGCAAAGACTGAAGACAAAACTCTTCAATCAGTGCGTTCTGCCCGTACTCACTTATGGTGCCGAAACGTGGACACTGACGATACGCCTGCTCCAGAAGCTCAAAGTCGCTCAGCGAGCAATGGAAAGAGCTATGCTCGGAGTTTCTCTGGTACACAATGCTGGCCTTCTTATGAAGAGTGCAATAACTTGCTTTTGGCTACTTTCGAGATAATCGCAGTTAAAGATTTAATTCTTGTTTTGTCTGTATCTTCGTAACTATGATAGCTATTTGCTTGAAACTTTCACTATACGACAGATAAAATGATGCAGAATTCTTTGTGGTATATTATATTTGTACGTATATTTATATAGACTTCAAAAACACAATAGTGTATTTATCTGAAGGACTGTTAATTGTTTTGATAAAGAGTTACTAATCATAACTGCAATAAGTAGACTACTTATTGCAGTTATCGTTAGTAAACCGACAAATTGCTCTTTTGAGTAGCATAAACTATATGTCCTGTAGTTTCTTTCCAACCATAACTGCAATAAATGTCTTAGTTATTGTGCCTTTAATTAGTAAAGTATTTTAATCAGACACAATGCAGCCATGGTTGATTGCAAGAATATTATAAGTTTATGTGAAAAATGATTAAAACATAATTACTATGTATGAAAATGTTTATTAATTAAATTACCTGTTGTGAGAAATGTTACAAAAATATCACTTTATCACCTAAAAATAAAAATTAAATCCCTTTAGGCCACTTTAAGTGTTTTCTTTCGCGAAAATTATGTAATCACGACTTAAGGAACTTTGCAATTGCACATATTAAAAGCAAGATAAGTAACTTTAAAAAATCAACTAATCGTTTAGACAATTTTTATTTTTTTCCTAGTATATAAAAAAATGTTATACTTAATCTATTTAGACAGATTATGAGATCAATCTTAATTCATTCAAAGTAACTTAAATTTCAACGTTAAGAAAACGTTGGAATCTGAGTAAAATGTATGTTTGACATGTCTGAGTTTAATGTATCATCGTAGTATTTAGTCACTGGGTAAATAAAACTTATTGGGGGCATATTCGCGGCGATAATGTAATATTGTTGGGTTGAAACTTTGAATATTGTGCCCAGTGATTTAAAAAACGTATGTCGCACAACAAATAAAACCACCCACGCTTCGGCGATAGTTGCTGAATTCACATCAACCCTTGTAAAAGAAAAATTAATAAAAAACGCCCGTAGATTCAGCAAAACTAATAACGGAACTTCTCTCTATACGTCACTCATTGGTCTCACTGGCCCCGCAAAGCCTATATACATCTCTGAGTATCTTACTCCATATGCAAGAAATCTTTTTTACCTATCTAGAAAATTTGCCAAAGAAAATGGATATAAATATTGCTGGACATCCTATGGAAACATCTATATGCGTCAGAATGAGGGAAAACAAGCACTAAAAATAGATAATGAAAAGGAATTAAAGAAATTATTGAACTTACAAAAGTGACTAGTAATAAGTGTGTTAATGTCTCTATTAGTTTTAGTTCTATTGTTATTCAAAACTAAGAGTGAAGAGTGCACGCCTTGCAATACATAACGCAGTGTTGGTGCTGACTTTGTTATATGGCAGCGAAACCTGGGTATGCCAGAAGAAGCATAAAAGCAAGTTGAATGCAGTGGAGATGCGATCTCTTCGTAAAACGTGCGGCGTTACCATAGCCGACCGAAAGCGAAACGAAGAGATTCGCAATATGGCAGGATTGAAAGATGACCTTATCACAAAAATTGATAGGGGCGTACTCCGATGGTTTGGGCACGTTGAGCGAATGAGTGAAGACCGAATGGTGAAGAAAATATATAGCGCGAAAGTAAATATTAAAAGGTGTCGAAGTACTGACCGAGACTAACTTTCGAAGACCATGTGAGCAAATTACTCGAAGAGGGGAAGGTCAAGAGTACTCGGATACCTAGACGTGCATGTATGAAGAAGCTAATGAACATGAAAGAAGCGAAAGAGGTATGTAAGGATCGTGACACTTGGCGATCTGTTCTCTCTGGCTACCCCGTTAGGGATTGTGCGTGAAGATAAGCTAGATAAAGCATCTGATCCATTATTTTGGTCTCCGTGATTGTCTTTAGATGTTGTTTTATGATTAATTGTGAATTTCTGCATTAAGTTTTATATTCGTTGTACTAGTTTCATTGCAGGTGTAAAAATCATAGTCGACATTCATGGAAAAATCAAGTAAATATTCTTTGTTATATTGACGCTATCGTCGGATTCCTCAAACATGATAACTTTACTATTGTCACAATCATACGTGGTAAAGCTATACTGCAGCTATATTAGTAGTATAAGCAAGAATGGGTCGGCTTGACCCAGGAAGGACCACGATCTCACAGAATACCGGCGTAAAATAGCAGCTTAACGCTGCGCTGCTCTGTTTCGTATGGTGAGTGTAGAGAACCGGAGACCCTTTTTACTGGAAACGAGGCATTCCATCTTAGTCCACGCGGGTGACATTTGCATTTTGATTCGTAATCGAGGATAGATGTAGATGTCTATGGGCCACAGCAACCACTTACCATCAGGTGGACTGTGTGCTCGTTTGTCACCTTTCTCCTATAAAAAAATCATCTTTGTCGAGCAATAGAAGGATTTAAAGACATTTTAAATAATTACGTGTAACAAACTGTTCTCTTTGTTGAGTTTTAAAAACCAGAATATTAAGTAAGTAGTAATCTATAGAAATATCACAAAATATAGCTTACCTTTCCACATAACTCAAGTTATTTCGTTCGTGATATGCAACTTACAAATGGTATTATTAGATATTGCAGTTATGTTTAACAAAAGAACCGAATCTACCGTTAATACGAAAAAGATGTCTAAGAAGAAAATATAGAGCTCATTTTCGTGATTACGGATACTATTTACTTAAGTCAGAAAGCCCTAAACTCGAATTATTGCACTTATCGTAAGGACGGCAGAATGGTCGAAATGAAGTAATCCGCCGGAGAACCAAGGTTATTGACATAGCTTTTCGTGTTTGTAAGCTGAAGTGGCAATGGGCTGGTCATGTCTGTCGCAGAAATGACAACCGATGGAGTAGATGTGTTGAGGTGAGACCGTGTCTAGGCAAACATAGTGTGGGACGCTCCCTGGCCAGATGGAGCGAGGATCTGCGCAAGGTGGCTGGTAGAAACTGGATGCGTGTGGCCGAAGATCGGGCTAAGTGGCGCGCCTTGGGAGAGGCCTATGTCCAGCAGTGGACTGCCGCAGGCTGATGTTGATGTATTACTATATGTGATAGAGACATGCTGCAGCTATACTATAATTGTATCACGAGTGAGTCAGTTTGACTGAGGAAGGAATATGCTCTCTTTTAATTGAAAATATATGTAGATGTCTGGGCCAAGCATCCACTCACCATCAGACTGTGTGCTTGTTTGTTACCCATCTTTATTAAAAAAAAGAATGTTAAGCACCTCGTTCCCTCATGACCTGGGTGCACTCAAAATGTCTGTTTATGTAATGAAATTTAGTATGTAGTTGGTTTTAAAAATATTTATATATTCATTAGGTAACACTAGTATCAAACCTAGAAGCATATGGCTTCAACCTACTAGAAATGGCGCGAGTGTGCCAGCACGGTGTGGCTGCATCGTGCGGGGTCACAAGAACCCCTGGAGCAAAGTGTGACCAACTGATGGTGCAGGGTGATCAGGTAAATACAATAACTGACTTAATATTGGTAGAGCCACTCTGCAGCTATATTATGGTTGTAGCTCATATGAGTTGGCTCAACTGGGGTAAAACCACGCTGTGTTTTGTATGGTGAGTGTATAAAACCGGAGACCCTTTTTACTGGAAACAAGGCATCCTATGTTAGTCCTCAGGGGTCACAACGCGTCTGCATTTTGATTACTTAATCGAAGTCTTACAGGCTACAGCATCCACTTACCATCAGATGAACTGTGTGTTCTTTGACACTCTTATTCTATAAAAAAAAATTAAAACAACAAAAATATAATTGTAGCGCATTATGAACACTAACAGTCCAAAGTCTTCCCTGGTATACTAGCCATATGCTGAGCACATTCCATGAACATATTTAGTTATATAATATTTTATTTAATAATATGCTATTAATTTGAATTGATCTTTTCTTGTTTGTAGCTATTTGTTATAAATAGACCATTTTATACAATGCAAAAAATATAGTTTTTTACATTATAAAAATATATATAAAACTACTTTTCCTTTTATCTATTTGTAACACCTCACCTAGAAACTGGTTTTAATATCTAAATTTCTCTTACAGACACACTTCATTGCCAAACTGCTGATTGAGAAGTATGGACTGCCCAAGAAATATCTTGAAGGTGCCGATAAAGCTTTAAATAAGAAAAAGTGATGAAATATTGTTTAATGGACATGTCCTAAAATGTGTGACATTCACTCTAAGAGTGCTTGATATTCAATAAAAAAATTATGTTGTATAAAAAACTATGTATTAATCACATATCCCTTAAATCTATTAAAATGTTTCTCTGCGAAATTGATTCAAATACAAGCTAAGTATTATCTAATTTAATCAATTACAAATATATGGCCACTATTACACAAAGACTGTTTTATTTTAATTATACAATATTTGTAGCAAAATTGCACACACAACATTAAAATACATATTGGTACATAAAATATACACACCTCATAATTTTTATCAATTGAACAATTTAAACAGTAATATGGAAGACAAAAATTACAATAGAAATATTTAGTTTTTCTTAAATCCATGGTACTTCATCTATATGTTACAAACATAATTCAAATTATTTTTTACAAAATTAAATGCAACTATTTCATTTCACAAAATAAACTTTATGATTTACAATTCTATCATTTTTCTACACTATGTTTAGGGTGGGTTGATGTCCATTTTTAATATTATATACAAAAAAAATCATTAGCAGACAACTTTTATCCAAATTGTATTAAATACTAAGTCTTAAAAATTAAATAACAAAGCAAAACCACAACCACAAAGTATTACAACAAATATAAAAAAACATTACTATCCACTTAAATGAATTTTTGATTTAGGTAATATAGAATTTATGAATTTAGTTTTATTAAATGAATTCTATGACTTCAATGAATAGACTTAGTTTGATATAAAAAGGGTAATAAAATTTGAGAGAGATCATTTTCAGAGCAATACCTAACGTTAAAGTAAAAATTTTTAAACCTTAGTTGATAATTTAAACTTAAAAGGACTTTTAAAATGTATCAGAGACTTCCTGCTCTTAGTTTTCTTTAATTCTGGAGGGGCAATTGGAGTTTGGGGAAAGCACTGCCTCACACTGGAGCGAATTCTATCAGACACACATCCCTCACTCACCTTGCTGCTGCTAGAATTCATACTCCAATGACTCCTGGCTGACATAATAGAGCACCTAGACGTTATTGAACTTCTGGATGTTAGACTTTTCTTAAGCTGCCATGATTTGTTATGTCCCCAAACACTAGCCTGCTTAGATGGTGATGAGTGGGTCCATTGGGTAGCCGCTCTCCTTTCTGTTATCATTTTCAAGATCCAAGTACTTGAATTTTGTAATATCCTTTACAGTTTTCTCACTCTGTGTTGAACTTTGGTTTTCTCCATTATCCAAATTGTCCAACTCATAAAATGTTAATGTTAAACTCTCATCAATTCCAATGAAAGGGTTAGCTGTGAAGTGCACTTTTTTCGAAGGCATATCAGGAAATATATTGCGACGCGCGCATATTCTCTTTGGTGAACTTTGTAGATGTGACTATGATACTCCCATCCCCAGTGTTAGCTGATAACAAGCTGTCTAAATCCTCATAGCTGTAGCTTTGTCTACGAGCCCTAGCTCGCACTGAGCCTGAACGGCGACGACGACGACGCGATTTCCAACGGTTCTTCTCAGCACTAGCGATAACTGGAGGCAATGTTACACCATTGCTTTCACAAATATCTGAATCCTCATTGGAAACAAGCTTCGTGGCAGGACTGTTTACAATTTCTTTTACAACAAGCTCCCCCTCTCTTTTATTCAGTGATTCTTCTCTTTCTCTCAAAGCTATTAGTTGAGACATCCACTGGTGACATAATGTTTCCTCTGATGCTTGTAAAAATTGTAATATTTAATTAAAAATTGTGAGAATGACGGAAAAATTAAAGAATTATCAAGTTCTCGATGTTCTCTGTGGCGGCACATTCTACAAAATTAAACACAAGGTCACCAACAACATATTTGCGTGGAAGGCTTACGATTGCACCGCATACTCCGATGAACAAATAAAAAATATCGTTAATGAAGTAAAAACAATAAGTGTTATCTGGCAACTTGCTACGCTACTACGATACAATTCTCCACAACGCACCCAAGACTCTGTACTTTGTTCTCGAATACAACTCCTGGCAAAGTTTACAGGAACTGATCAGCGTTTGCAAGGCCACTGATAAGTATTTTTCAGAGAGTTTCATATGGTATTTGCTTCTTGAGCTCACACGAGCTTGTAAGGTTGTAGAAAGTTTAAACTTCGCAGTTATACGGAAATGCATAACGCCTACCACTATTTACGTAGACGGAAGCGGAGAAGTGCGCACAGATTGTTTCCAGTTGCAAACGACAATTACGGGATCATCAGACCTCATGCAACAGATTGGGGATGTTATACATACGCTGTGCTATCGTCCAGAAACTGGTGGAAATAAAATTAAAGAGTTCCTCTACAGTGATGATCTTAGAGATGTTGTCTCTTTCCTTACCGATGAAAGAAGCTCTGGTTTGCGACTTGTTGTATGCGCCTATTACCTTTCTGTAAGGTTTTCTACAGCGAGGTACATACCCTGGCAGTTCTAAAGCCAAAGCTTGCAGTGTCGGTGACAAGGAACCTTTTTCTAAATTAGAACCTTCTATTTCTTTATTCGACTTCTGCTTTGGGATATTTGAATATACTGGACTGTCTACAAGTTAAACTGGGTCCTTGGTAATGGTTTGATAATTCTACACTTCTCCACAAACTTTTCAGAATCACATTTGTTTAATTCTGATTTCTGATGAGAGTACTCACTTGACACCAGAATTTCAGTCAAATGTTTCGGCTAAGAATTGATTTCTAGGTTTGATAAGATTGTTGGATGGTAAATAACCACTTCGGGTCGCAAACCGGAGCTTCTTTCATCAGTAAGGAAAGAGACAACATCTCTAAGATCATCACTGTAGAGGAACTCTTTAATTTTATTTCCACCAGTTTCTGGACGATAGCACAGCGTATGTATCACGTCCCCAATCTGGTGTATGAGGTCTGATGATCCCGTAATTGTCGTTTACAACTGGAAACAATCTATGCACACTTCTACGCTTCCGTCTCCGTAAATAGTGGTAGGCGTTATGCATTTCAGTATAACTGCGAAGTTTAAACTTTCTACAACCTTAAAAGCTCGTGCGAGCTCAAGAAGCAAATACCATATGAAACTCTCTGAGAAATACTTATCGGTGGCCTTGCAAACGCTGATCAGTTACTATACACTTTGCCAGGAGTTGTATTCGAGAACAAAGTACAGAGTCTTGGACGCGTTGTGGAGAATTGTATCGTAGTAGCGTAGCAAGTTGCCAGATAACACTTTACTTATTGTTTTCACTTCATTAACGATATTTTGTATTTCTTCATCGGAGTACGCGGTGCAATCGTAAGCCTTCCACGCAAATATGTTGTTGGTGACCTTGTGTTTAACTTTGTAGAATGTGCCGCCGCAGAGAACATCGAGAACTTGATAATTCTTTAATTTTTCCGTCATTCTCACAATTTTTTATTAAATATTACAATTTTCCACATTTTGTAACCGAAACAAAGCCCCGTGCACGTTTAAAATTTTGCGACGGTTACAGATCTAGTGATGTGCGTCATTATATTATACGGAGCCGTATCACAAACATTTAAAAGAAAATATCGATTCATTACTACACAAGACCGAAAAACGTAAAATAACGATGTTTTGTATAATTTAACCTCAAATATTTTAAATAAACCCCTTTCATATTTGATTTTTTTTAAATTATTGTATTTGGAGTTTTTTATAAAACGTCTGATGATATTTATTATTTAAAACATTAATCTAAAATTTAAATTTATTGCTACAAATAAATTTTATTTCCTTTCATTTCAAAATATAATGGAAGAACATCTTTAACTTCAAACTTTTATTATTATTCTTATTAATCATACTTACTGACTGAATTAAAAAAAGGTACATTACAAAATAGCTTTTTTACTCTGAACTCTTATTTAAATATAAATCTCAATATATTATTTAAATATAATCTTATTTAAATATAATTGTACGTGTAAACTTAAAGTATTTCTTATAATTCAGCGTGCTTCTTGGCAAAAACTTCCTTTAGCTCTTTCCATTAAGTTCTATCACAAGCCACTCTCCCCAAGTTAGAACCCACTGTGAGTTTCAAATCATTCTCTCATCTGACTTGTGGTTTCGTTTTGCTTCGCTTAGGTACTGCTTATAAGATGCCAACCTGTTGTTATTTTTAATTTATTCCGTTTAGTTCTCAGTTCATGGTCTCTCAAACTCCACTTGCTGATCAATTGTTTTTAATCATTCCTTATTCGGTAAATTTTACGTGTTCACATTATACTTCGTTGCATATATCTCGGGCAGTGATAAATTTTTTCTGTATTGTTTTGTAAATTATATGTACGATGTTTCTATATATTCAAGGATCACTAGGTGTATATTTAGCCCCTATTATAACACGGTTTCCAATAATAAAACTATTTTTAATAAAACATATTATTTGAAATAACAGGAAGTATAACGTCTAAAAGTACACGTTATCTAATGATACATTTTCTTATACATCTAGATAGGAAATTCTGAACGACATGTCTTTAAATGTCAAATTTACATTGCACTGAATAATTTTGCTAAACGATATTCAGTGGTGTATAGAATTGATCATCATCAATATTCTTTCGAAGTCACTGGCGTTCGTTGTGACACTTAAAATAAAAAAAATACGTGTGGCACTCGGTGACTGCCGCGGTAAAGCTATTGCATAGCATTTTTTATCAACTTATGCAATTATAATTATTTATTTATTTTATTTATGCAGTTAAGTCTTTGATATTAAATCAAGTTACACTTTTTGAGCGTGGTGACCGATAAGAAAACAATCTTTTTTTTCTCTTATTGAATAAATGAGAAGTTAATATTGTTAAAATATTTTTAATATCTTACAATACATGTAGGTTATTCAGGAATTTTTATCATTGAGTTAGCAGCTAGTGTACACGCATACGTCTAGTCGCACGCACACAAACACCGTGCCGAAGTCTGCCGAGTGCCGAAGTGTGCCGAACTGAAACGACGTTAGACGATGCACGGCTTTCAACGCCACACCTCCGTGCCCGTCGGAGTGGGGAGCGTGAGGTTTTTTTTTCGTTACGGAATTTCTGGATTCGGTCCCCACGCTCAAGGCCCGCGATAGTAGCTATGCAATAGCTTAAAATTAAATACGCTACAAATACACATTTTTGTGCGTCTGTAAGATAATATTTCTAATAAAGAATGGGTTTGCTATGCTGGGGACCACGAGTTCGTATCACGGATAGAACAAGTATTTTGTATGACCTACAAATAATTTTTCCGGGTCTGGATATTTGTTCATGTGCAATTTATGCTTGTAAACTACCTCCACGATACAGGATAAAATCCTAGTGTGGGTAACGTGTTTTGTAAAAATAGAAAAAAAAATGCAAATTTGTATTATAAATGTATATTTCATTTTACAAAAAGTATTTGTATTGGAAATTTCAGTAATGTTTAATTTTGAAATTTACAAAAACCCATTCTATGAGATGGTTTTCTATTAATACCTTATTGATTTAGAGTACTACAATTGTTATTTGATGCATTTTTATACATATGGACTGATACGGGAAACTAAAGAAAACCCTAGTATACTGCTCTATTCATATACACTCAAAGCGGCACAACTTTGTAACGCTCAAACATGAAACTTTGATTAACATACTACATAATATTTCAATGACCCAATCTCAATGATAAGAATAAACTGTGATGAGGCACATTTGTTCGACGTGGTGTCAATTTCTACGACAGGACATTCGGCTAAATCATACGACCGGCACGTATGACATCAAGTGTTGGAGGGTTCGTTAAAGAGTTAGACAAACCGCTTAGAGCCTGCATATATTTTAAAATGAAAGCTTTTACGTGACCCTGCATTGGTTATAGTTTCTCCATCAGTAGCAGGCTATAGTATATACCTAAAGAAAATTTAAAACTGTACATAATGAAAATATCATGAAATAAAATAATAACCAATTTTACTCCAAATCGTAATCGTTGTCAGTTTCGCTATCCTATAGCATGTTAAAGATGAAATGATTGGAGAAATGTGCACTTCTCAATCCTCGTCTCTCTGAGTCCTGTAAGAGCTGTTTGATTCTTTTTACAGTTTTTAAACTAACACCTCAAAAATATGTAGTTAAATGGCACGGTTTACGAAAATTCAAATCAGTAAAACTAAATGAATATTGTTAGTAACAATCCGGATCTGATGATTCACTTCACCCGTAATGCTTGACTGTGTGTGTGTGTGTTATTCAGGAACTCGTCCATATCCATCAAATACTATTTTGTTTATAATGAATACAAAAAAAAATACTCGTATGCGGTTTGCATATGGTGATTAAATAGGTACATTTTCATATTAAAATCATAATTTAAGAACTATCCATAAAATGAGTCTTTATAGAAAGCTATAAGAAAATTGATAAAACAATTATACTGGAATATTTTGGACCACTGTATACGTTAGTGTTAACACGTATAGACTTAACGCGCTTAAATTATCGACAATGCTGCTACACGTACACAACCCTAGCGCTTAATTGCCCGGCTGCGACCAAAAAGTATATAATAATCACGCTGTCGTCGCGGGCATTGATTTCTTTTTAACTATAGTTCATAAAAGATAGCTTGATCTCTGCGACAGCCATAGAGATATGGAGGCGGCGTATTCTACTATAGAAATAATAGTTATACAAATATCTATAATATCGATACAAACTGGTCAAAAATACTTTTGTTTCTTTTTAACAAAGCAGTAGCTTCATTAGAAAAGGGAGACAACAACAGTTTGTCAATTGCTTATTTTGACAACACTTTCGTGTGACGTCTTTAGCTCATTCATGCGTGACTGTGTCGCCATGTTAAGCGCCGAGTTTTGTGGTAGATCTGCTGTCATACTGTTGAATGCTAAAAGTTTTTTTGTTGTGTAGTGCAGTGCCTTCATCTTATTTTATAGTAGGTGTTTTTCTTCTATTTATATTTTATTATGTTACTAGATAACTCTAACCACCTAAAATTGATTTGATTGTAACTCTTAATTGAGAGGCATTTCTGAGTTTTTGCAAAACTAACGTACGGCAATTGATTTTTAAATTAAAATAATTTTGTGAAGCATAATTACATCACGTCACGTGTTATAAATACTTCTATATTTTGACGGTAATTCAATGAATGAAGTAGTTAGATTGTGTCACTATTCACTTATAATATTGTAACTTTTTTTAGCATATTTCTAAGCAAATAAGTGTCTTACAGCTTATTTCAAGTGTTATGGTAGTGATGTATTTTTTAATTATTACTTTATGTAAGATGCATAATTTTGTAATTTATTTTGCCTATGCAAATACTGCTAAGAAGTTTTGTAATTATAAAAAAATCACAGTATATGTATGTTTGTCGCTACTAGTTGGGGGAGAAAAAACAAAAACTTTCAGGAGTGGTCTTCAGTATGCCTCTATTAGAGTCGTTATTTAAATTATTAAAAAACCTTATCAATTGCTGTATTAGAATATATTGCGGGATTTGTGGCAGAAAAAGGTTCAGATACCATGTAAGAAGAAGCAGTGACAAACTGTCTTATAGAAATTATATTAAAAAATAATTTTGTTCAGAAATGAACAAATAATAATAATAATAATAGTTTATATAAAAATCTATCATGGTCATGAAACGGTGGATGAAATATGATATATGAGGATGTTATCCTGCATGTCATATTTCGTAATCATGCCAGATTTTCGAATTTTTCAACATTTGATAATATTTTTCATTTAAAATCCGAATGAATAAATAAAATATGATATACAACTTGCTTGTATAACTTACTATTTGTGATAGATTATGTGCAGATAAATTAATAATAAATAAATATTGATTTTTAAAACAGTTTATTTCATTTTTACTCAACTAATCATTATTATTTTACATTAATAATATGAGATCTGAGACCATCCCATTAATACTCTAAACACAAAAGAAGGATTTAATTTCTATCTACAAAAAAGCCATAAATCTGTCGGTCACATTTATTCGCCAGATTAGTTGTTTGATGATTGAAAATTCAGCCCTGTATCTATGTAAATACCTACGGAATAAAGTAAATTAAGCAGCAAATCCAATTATATAAAATGAGAAAAAATTCATATTATTTAAAATATCGATATCAGCTGCGCATATTGCAGAGTTACAACCCTATAAAAGGCGGCCATTTTATGCGCCAGATTTTTGTAGGTAGTCACGATAATTCTGTAGGTATGCCCAGTCCATATACTTCTAAGTCAGTGTACAGACAGTACCTGTCAATGTCATACTTTATGGGCATGCCGACCTAATTAGTGCGTTATCGTTAGTTGTAGGAATGTAACGAAATATCGGCGTCTCTTTTTAGCTCATGAGTATATTCGTAT